TTAGATGACCATGTTTACAATCAATACACTATTCTTTCCTCTACTGTACTGATAAGAGCACTAAAGCTGGAGAGATTAAGCAACATTCCCAAAGTAAGTAAGAAAGTCGTGGATCTGGGGTTTGGATCAAAATGGACTCCATAGCCAACACCACTGGTCCCTCCCAACATAAAAAATAATTAAGAATATACCTTGAAATGCATTAAGCTAATTGTAAAGCATTCTCATTTACTCTGCTTCTACCTATCTGAACTTCTAAGATGTGAACAGGTCTATTCTTCGGCTCATTTCTTTGTCTTGTCAAATGATCACCTCGAATGTCCAACTGATCACCTGGAGGTGGAGGACTCAGCCCTTCTGGTTGACTTTCACAATAAAGAGGCTCTGGGCAGGCTCCAGAAGACCACGCTTCCTGTGTCTCAAAATTTCACTATCTTCTTCTCTTCAATCTTTTGGGGACTCATCCTTCCTGGGAAGTTCAGAGGCCCACTTTCAGCCAAATACAAATGTTAGAAACTTTTCTCTGAAGGAGAAAAATGAGTGAGAATCTAGTCCCTTGGAAGATCCAGCTAACCCACCTTATAAAGCAGGCACAGAAGCCATGAAATACACCAACCATTTCTCTCCCAAGGACTTTTGCCAGCCTTGGCACAGGCTGGTTCGTTTGAAATATATAATTAAATATTCTTAACAACTCAATTCTTCCACCTCACTTTGATCAATAGTTCATTACCTAAGTCAGATCTGCCAAAAGAGGCAAACTCTTCAGCTCATTTTGTCCTATATTTGCATGAATATTATGCACTGAATGTTACGCTTCTTTGAACTTCAAAAGAACTTCCTGGCCTCTTTTGACTAAAACTTTAACAATTGAGCATAATGGAGTTACAGAAAGACATTTTCCCAGCTAAAGACCTCAAACCTCGCTGCTTTTGGACAGTAACAAACTTTTATATAAGCCATAAATGGCTCATTCATCCACTGTGATGGCACTGTCCGTATTTCCTGGGTTCCTGAGCTGGTTTTCCCTCCTGTGAGAGCAAGGTAACTGGCTAATTAGCTACTAGCAAGTGGCAGCACCCACTTCTACTTCTTGTGCAAACAGCTTTCTGCTATGAAAGCATTTCCTCCAGACCTCCTCAGATTCTACACCAGTTGAGTGTCTTTGACCATAATAGCATCACCCCTCGTTCCATCCTGATGCCTAAAATGGGAAAGCAAATATGCTACAGAGCATCTGCCTTGACCAACATGCTTATACTCAAACCAGCCCAAGAATGAGAAAAAACCTTAGCTTCCTTGGGTAAAACAGTATCAGGCAGCAAGGAGCGACATGAAACTTTACGATCCTTACACATTTCTTGAAGTTTTTCTGTTATTTTTTCCCCTCATTTTCCTTCTTCCATTTCCATACTTACTCTTCTCTAGAACTCAACAGCAAAATATGGGAATTCTGATTTCCTTTTACTTCAAAGGACTTTTTCCTGTTGTCAAAGTAATATTTGCCAATTGTGAAATCTTTGGAATAAATAGAAGTATAAAAATGAACAAATATAACAGTCATGAAACTACTACCCAGAGATAAAAAATTAGTTCCCTCTTGCACACCATGTGTGTGTGGGCACGCTCAGTCATGTCTGACTCTGCGACCCCATCGACTGTAGTCTGCCAGGCTGGCTCCTCTGTCCATGGGATTTTCCAGGCAAGAATACAGGAGTGGGGTTGCCATGCCCTTCTCCAGGGGATATTCCCGACCCAGGGATCGAACCTTTGTCTCCTTCATTGGCAGGTGGATTTTTTACCATTGAGCCACCTGGGAAGCCCCACTGCACACCAAGTATGAATATAAATTTCAGATAGAAGAGAGAACTATGGGCAAAACCCCAAATTATAGAAGCAGTAGAAAAAAATATAAGAATATGGAGTAGGAAAGATCTTCCTAGGAATAAGAAGAAATCCACAAGCCATAAAGGAAATGAATGACAGATCTGACTACACAAAAATTTAAAACTTCTATATGGGAAAATATGGCTTATACAAAGTTTGAATGAAATGGCAGACTGGGAAAATAATATGTGAAATACAAAAGGTTAATAACAACATTTGAAATAACAAAGTGTTAATAAATAAGCTTTTGCAAATCAATAAGACAAGCAACCCAACTGAAAAATAGCCAATTCACTGGAGGAATACAATTGAATTAAAAGTAATTGAAAATATACTCCAGTAATACGAAAATCTCACAGCACAACTGAAACATGATTTCCTCTAGTATACTGGCCTTTGAATACAACGATTAATAATACTTTTAGTGAAGGAATTAGAAATGGACATGAATACATATATGGTGGAAGTATAAACTGATACAACTTTTTTTGAAAGGACAATTTGACAGTTTTTGCCAAGATTAAAACTGAACATACACTTTGACCTGACAATTACTCACAAATACTTGCTTAAGTGCTTTCAGGCATTCAATAATGCCTTACTTATAGTAATAACAAAAACTGGAAACAATCTAAGTATCTACAAATAGGGACTACCTAAACAAACCATGGCACACTCATACAACTGGGTACTATATAGGCATTAGAATGAATATGGTACTGTTACGCTGCAATGTTCTGACATGAAAGGGTGTCCTGAACACACTGCTGAATAAAGCAAGTTATAAGGAAAAAATATATATATATAATATCCAATTTTTGTAAAAGAAAAAATCCCTATAGATATGTATGTTTTGATAACAGAGAGAAAATAGCATGGAAGAAACAGAAAACTATTATTAATAGAATAATAGAAAACTATTATTAATAGTAACAGTCATCCTTGAGGTGTTAGAATGGGTGTTGAGAGAAACAGGTTGTTTATGAAGTTCAGATACTTTCACGTCATTTTGTACAATGAGTAGTATTCATTTCATAATTTAAGAAATTTCAAAATAATCCAGGGCTATCATTTTCAATAAGGAGTGTTTGGTAGCATGAGAGTACATTACAAGGATCACTTATGCAACCATTTCCTACTGCTTTCCTATTGCTCCTAAAGTCTTGTAGAGCTGCAACATAAATCTCTGTGCAGCAGTGTGTGTGTGTGTGTGTGTGTGTGTGTGTGTGTGTGTCAAGGCAACATACCTAAGGCATAGACTTTTAGAGTTTCCTTTTAGTGGAGATAACTTTGCACATATCTTCGAGACAGTTAGCTTGGGTCAGGCCCCAAAGAATGATTAGGGAATGACCATGACCTAAGCCTCATTATCTGACTATAAGCTGGAAACACTAGCCCAGAACTGGTCCCTTAGGCCATCTGTTATGTAATCATTTTGACACCAATTGAATATCCAAAGGGCTTGGGACAGACTCACAGGCAGTAAGAAATGTTAGACAGTGATAGTTTGGGGTCTGTCAATCATTTTTCAATCACATTTTTTCTTTGGTTTGTCAATTAAGCTCTAATTGTCTATTTCTATGGACAATATTACTCAATTCTTCATTAATATGGAAGGCTTCCCAGAGAAGGTGGTCTCCTAAGAGTTGCAAGCTTCCCCATGTTGCCACAAGGCCATAAGGGAAGTTTCTCCCTAAGAAACAAAGGAGTTTTAAGTCCAGCTGTTTGTGAGCTTAGCTGAGAATGGATTGGACAACTTTTCTCTCACATCCACTTAAATCAAGGAGAACTTCTGGAAGACGAGGGTTCTGAGGTGGATTACGTATTCAAGCAGGAGAAGAAGGTCGGTTGAGGACTACAAGAGAAGAGGCTGATTTAAGCTCTCTTGCTCCTACTGTGTCCTGCTCAAACTTCCTTTTTTTTGTGTCTCAATCATACGAGAGATTACCATGGATCACTCATGTTTAAAAGCCTAATCAAAAGCCCCATTTCTCCCAGGAAGGAGACTCACTTTACTATGAAAACCATAGGGAAGCAGAAAGACAGGTAACAGTGGAACAGATTCGGCACTGTTCTCCCTAACAGAGAGCCTCATGCCCGATATATTTAACTTAAGCTGATAAAGGAGATACATGTTTAAGTGATGGGCTTCAGATGCTGTTTCAGCTCCTACCAGGCATATTTACACAGTTCCTTCTCATGAATAAGTTCAGTGGAGCAGAGAATGCCCTGTCTTGGACCAGTTCCACTTTGTGCTTCTTTTGATGCAGCCAAAAAGGGGAACTAGAGAGAGGGCTTTTCCTTCAAATGCAGAGCCAGGGTCCACCTTGGAGGTGGCTGCAAATGGCCCAAAGAAGGCGAGGCTCACAGTGGGCGAAGGCAAGCAGACAGCTCCTAACAAGAGCAGAGATGTCAATGGTTACTCGTAAATCTCCCAAATGTGGCTGCAAGGAGGGTTAATTACCCCCCTTTCCCTGCCACTCGGCTTTCTCCAATGTGTCAGCCCATGACACGGATCGCTGACTTTCTAGAAATATTCCCTGGCTTTGCAGGGACGTTCCGTTCAACAAATGGCATCCAATTTGCTCACGGTCCCTGGAATCTCAATTTCCTCAAAGGATTTTTCATCTCAATCCAGTTCATGTGAAGGTTTTTTCCTTCTTCATTTTTCGGCAGAAGGAAATAGGCAGAGCCTGCTTTACTTTTTTTTTTTCTTTTTCTTTTCTGTGTTATTCTTTTTCATAAAGTGAAAACCTTTGCAGAAGAGTCTGAAATTTGGGAAAAAATCCAGCTCATCTGTCAGATATTTCTAGAATTACGTAAAATGGAATGAGATTTGTACAGTTTAGAACAGGAAACGGAAAATAAGCTAATGTGTCATGTGTTCTATGAGATGAAAACTATATGATAATCAGAAAAACAGCCCCAAATTCATTGGCCTGATTCAAAGCTCTCTTTCTTTTATCAACTCATGCATAAACCAGTAACATTCACTTTCTTAGATTCGTGGCAGGGCCACATTTGGGCTAACTCGCAATCTCTTCAGATTATAAGCACATTCTTAAAGAAATGACAAGAAAGTATCTTGCTTTTTTTAAACTCAAGACACTTACGTTTTACTTGCTCTGTTCTGCTTCCTTCTAGGAAAAGAAAGAACAGCAACAAGGAAAAGATGTATCTCATGCCTCCCATGCTGCCCATCTTCCACTTTTTTCTCATTCTGGCCAGTGCAAAAGGCAACTTGAAACTTTCAGGGCCCAGTGTACTCAAGCTGTTGGGAAGAAAGTAGGCAAAAAGACTTAGAACAGATCTACTGGAACTGATGGAGACCTCTTATCTCAGGCTTCTAACCTACTGGGGGGGGTGCGTGGGAAGGGCCAGGGGAATTTACATAAGTATAGTAAGCACTGTTTTCCTGCGAAGAAAGAGAACTTGCCTCTCCTGCCTTGCAAAGACTGTGGGGGAAAATTTAAGTGGACGAACATACATGTATCCTATCCAACGCTAAGGCTAAATCCTTACAGGCAAGTCATAGGAAAGAAAAAATAAATTTTGAAATCCTCATTTCTAAGGGAATTAAAGTTGATTTCTCAAGAGATTTTCTTTGGGAGAAAAGGGAAACTGGGGTTTGCAAAATGGCCATTTATGGCAAACAAGAAAAAAAATAATAGGCAGTGACCCAAACAATTTCTGAAATGAAAGTCAACTGATCTTAGCTTCAAGACTACCATTATTTTTAATCCTTCAGGGATGAGGCAAGCGTTGATCAGTGTTTTGCCTGTGTCTCTTATGAGATCTATAAGGATTTTCAGTTTGGCCACTTATGTTGGAAAAGACAGATGTGATTAGCAAATGGATGTGATGTAAGCACCTGAATGGTTCAGACATATTCCTCTCACATGAAGTCCCCTGTGAAATGGAAATTTTAAATGGACCATTTAAGGAATATTGGGCAAACTTAAGTAGGTAATATGTTCACATTGCATCACTATGCAAAAGACCACCCCAAAAGCACCTACCATTCTTAAAAATAGGAGAACTGCATTTCCAGTCTTAGGAGTGGAAAGCTTTTTGAGGCTTAGAACAGGGAAGGTTTACTATAGATTATATCCAGCCACAGGTCATTTCCATCGACTTTAGAGCTGGCAAAACTCTTCCAATGGGGGATTTGAAAATATTTAAATAATTCAAGAAACACCATATTTCAGTCTGGGATTAACATTGGATGGGAAGTGAGTTCAACAATCTTTTCAGCGGGTCCAACCTAAATATTGAGTATAGAGAGCTGGATGGAATACAAGATGATCATTCTGGAGAACTGAATTGTCTTTGGGCCACAATGTGAATGCCACCACTATTACTTTAAATATTATGAATTTGGCCAGATAATTTAAAATCCATGGTTTCAAATTAAGAGTATGCAACCAAAGCAGAACTGGTCATAGAGAATAATTTATGCTATCAGCCAGGATTTGCAGCACTGGTTTGCCTCTCTACCTCCTTCCTGCTCCTTAAACAGCGACTAAATTTTCCTGGGACATGTTCATAGCCTTCAAAAGACCTGGGTTCTGATGACCAGATCCCTTCTGGGAGCTTCTGGCCCCCCTTCAATCACTCAGAATGTCCAGCTCTGTCCTCTGAGAGTTACCAGGTTCCCTCGAAGCAAATCATTTCCATGAACGGCTTTAACACAGCGACTCACCCCAGTGAGGTTCTTCCCAAGCCTTCTTTAATAAGCTTATCCCCCAAGCCTCCAAAGGGGAAAGATTTTTTTAAACCACTGAAATCCAATTTATCATAATCACATATGGCTCTCGGGGGATTTTTGAAGCCGTGGTTTTCGGGTCTCCCCATGCAAGAACCAACTGGATTGTTTTTCTTGTACAATGGTTGGGTGATTTGGTGAACAGTAGCATTGCCTCATAACTCAAGCTGGCAAGAAAACTGCTCTTAGGCTTTTTTTTTTTTTTTTTTTGCTTTTCTTGGGTCTCAACTAATGGTATGAGCAAAGAGAAAAGTTGGTGACTAGAGAGCAATTAATCTCTTTTGGCGTTCCTGTCATCTGTGTGGCCTCCCTGGCTGGGATGAAGAACATCAGAAAATGAATCTCCTTATAAATAATCACTTTTGATTTACAAGATCCTGAAGTCCTGCCTTTATGTTCTGTACGGAGCTATAAACCTAGAAGAGTTCCCTCCCCAGATCTCTGTTCAATTTCTCTTTATCCCTCTAACTTTTTCTTTTGGGGGGAGAACGGTTCAAGACATTTGTTGGGGCTGCAGCAATAAACACGAGTGAGCATTGCTCAGCAAACATGCCGACTCTTACACTTGCAAAGAGCCAAACTGTCCTTAATTTTTCAAATTATACTTTGACCCAGTTAACTGGAGTTATTTCGGCATTAACTCTCTGTCTGCTTCACACAGGCCGTTGTGCCATTGAACTTGCACTGGCTCTTTTACAGGTTACTTAGAAATGTAGCCATTGACATATCTGGGGGAAAGCCAGGCCCCAACAAGAAAACAACAAAGAAAACAAAAATTCTGAGACCAATGCTGCAGAGCGGGGGAGGGAGAGTGAGCCTTACAGGAGTCTAAGAAACATGTCAGAACTAAAGAAATGTACCCATTAAGGTGCCTTCCTGAAACAAGCATTCACCAAGTTCATTTGCAATGAGCGAGGTGACCAAGGGCTCCTTGCCTGGCTGTGGGCGGCCAAGTGTCAAGGCTCTGTCCGTTCTCAGAAGAGGTTTCCTGGGTAGAATAGAATCAGAGACATTCCCAAAGGAAGGCTAAGGGATGGGCAGGTCAGCCAGCTCTTCATGCCCCACAGTGTTCCTTTAATCCTTCCTAGAGGCTTCACTACCCTTGTGATCTTACATTCACTATTATCTGTGGGACAGCCCCCAGGGTAACAATTCTCTTTTGGACAAACAGTAAGAAGACACTGGAGTCTCAGGCCAGAGTCCATCAGCTAAAATCCTCTCCCCAGTCTACCACCCAACAAGAAAAGCTCCGTTCACTGGCGGTGGGCTGTCCCTGAAAAATGGCAGCTTCAGGCCAGGGTGTCTCTGGTCTGAGTTGAGATGCCTCGATCGCTGCTATGACGGACAAACAAGGCCTGGAGTTTGGTTTGCAAAACACCGTGCTATCGATCACTTCCTTTTGATTCCCCACAACAATTCCACCTTCAAAATGGGCATCCTGGAGCCCAGAGAACTCAACTGCCCATTCTCATAAAGTTAGTGTCAGGGCCGGCAGGAACTAGAAGGCAGGCTTTCCAGGCCCTGAGTTCTGGCAATACCGCGTTGCACCCCGAGCTTAGCGGCTCCAACTCTGACCCCAGTGGTCCGGGCCGGAAAATGAGGCAGATGTCCACAAGGAGAACAGAGGAGCCTCCAGCCCCTTCTGCTCTGTTTCGTTAACTTGTGTACGTCCGAACCACCTACTGGTCCAGGGCACTTCGGCAAGCAAGCAAAAAAGGCTCGGGACACACGCGATCACTAAGGGGAGGGCAGAACCTGTTAGATGGCTACCCAAGGGGCCTCCCCGCAGCTCCAGAGCCTGGAACTACGCAGGCCGAGCCGGAGTGGCGAGTTCGAATCCGGAGGGAGCCGACCCCCCCCCCCCCAAACACACACACACCAACCTACCTTGGTCCAGCGCCCTGGGCCCCACCTCCAGCCGGGCCGCAGGCAGCTGGAGCAGGGAGCGGGCTGGGGTGGCAGGTTCGGGGAAGTTTGGGGTGCCCTGGGGGAAGACGGCCCACCTGTGCAAAGGCTGGAAAGGAAGAGAGGGAAAGCAGGCTCCAGGCACCGTTCACTGACCTGGCCACCGGCCTCCTCCGTGGTCCACGCGTGCAGGCGCTCCGAGCTCCCCGGGGCGCTCCTCCGAAGTCTGGGACTCGCAGGTTGTGGCGAGAGCTAGAGTGCGTGCGAGGGGGGAGGGGGGACTCGAAAGTGGGTGGGAGGAAAAACATCACCGCCCTCACACCACGAGGGAGCAGCGGTTCGCTCGGCTCCCGGGGGCAGAGCCAAGGCGCGGGTGCGGCGGCCCGGGGCCACCTGCCCGCCCGCCGCCCGCTCCCCACTTGGCCCGCGAGGCCGGCGGCTCGGCGCGGGCGGGAAGTCCGAGACCACGCAGCCGCTGCAAGTCCGCACCCCCTCGCCTCCCCGACACCGCCGCTTTCTCCCCTATCCCCCGACCCGAAAGTTAAGAAATCGGGAGAAAGTGTGAGTCTGAGCCGGCGACTTTCCCATCACGCAGCGCCCCCACGGCACCCACCCTCCCTCCTCTGGCTAAGCGAGCATTGGGGTCTTAAAGGGACCGCACATCTCCTCCGGCCCCTCCTCCCGCTCCGCGCTGGAGGCGCCTAGGAGCTCCCCGCCGCTTGCTCACGGCCTGATGACCCCGACTACCCTCCGACTTGCCTGCTGGAAGCCCTCAGCCCCCTCTCTTCCGGCACCACGGCCGCTCTGCGTGCACCTGGTCTGGTCCCGAGCGGGCGCGCAGGACGCGGGATGAATTGGCCTCTAAAATGATGCCCTATAGCAGGCAGCTGATCATTTCGGGGTGTATCCCAAATCCACATCGCGGCTAGTAAAGTGACAAAACGTTGGTGCCCTTGGTGCCCTTCAAGGCAGGATGGCGATGAGTGTGTGTCTGTGGAGGGACAGGGGACGACTTAGAAATCTGCTTTCGTCCACCAAGAGAGTTCCTAAACCCCAGGGAAAGGGTCTCCAATAACTGTTAGGTGTCTTGAAGAAAACTTGGGAGTGGCTCACCAAGAACCCATCCGTGAAATCTCAGTATCACTGCTGACCCCTTGGTGAACCCGAGATGGACTAGTCCAAATTTGAGTTTATTCCGTGAGCAAGAGTTACAAATTATCAGAATCTTCTAAGGGCCCGAAAGCGGTGCCTTGACAGACAGTACCCATTTATATTTTAAGGTCCTAAATTTAAAGGAGAGCTACAGGATTTTTTTCAGGGTGGAACTGCCTTATATTGATACTGTTAACATCAACATGACACTTTATGGCTTACAGAGTACTTTCCTATGCATCATCATTACTTTTTAAACTCTCACAACAAACCAAGTGATCTGTCCGTGGCCTCAAGTGTTGGAGTTGGCTAGGAACTTCTGGACCATTCATCTCAACCTCTTCCTATCACAGGAGAAACTGATGGAGGAGGGAGCGGGAGACGTGATGTATGGAAGGCCCCGCTAGATAGATTTGACCTTCCAGTTAAGATTTCCTGACTTTCAACCCACTGCTCTCTGGCTGTTATTGCCAGTCTATAGATGAGGAAACTGATGCTCAGAGCAATTGTGCTTGCCAAAACCATATCATGAAGAGAGAACAAAGGATAATGAAAACAAAAATAATTGTCCCTGGAAGTTAACTCTTTTTTTTTAGTTTCTTCACAAATGTTAATATCATCCAACTAGCCCTGAATTGCTGGGGATGTTTATTTCAGTGTTAACAAAGAATAGTTGGCCCTTTCTGAAATGTTGCCTTCAGGGCCCGAAATGTCTAGCTCCATCCTGCCGCCTAGGTAGCCATACATTACCACATGCATTCAATTTGTGCTGTACTATATTAGTTTGAACTTGCTGATTTGTTGCCTCATAACCATTCTCATGCCATTTAAGGCACTGATGTTTTGTCTCACTACACTGAGTTCCTCAAGGCCAAGGACTGGTTGTTTAATTTCCTTTGTATCTGCATCCCCCAACCCCCATCATCACTCCCAATGTGCTTAGAGAGTATTCGGAAATGGGTGTCAGGGAACAGACAGGGACAAGCATAGATCCCAGCATTAAAAATCAGTAGACTCACTGAGATTTAAAAACTCATCTATTTGGCTAAAACCACTGGCTCCCCTTGCTTGATGTAGTATTCTGATTTCTCCATAACAAACCATCCCCAAACCTAGTGGCTTAAAAGCTTACAATGATTTATTATGATCAAATGGTTCTTTTCAACTGGGCAGTTTTTGCTCAGGATATCTTGTACACTTGGCAACTGTATAAGGGGGTGCTGGAATGCTCTGAAAGGTTCTTCATTAGTTGAAAATGCTGGTGGTCCTTGTATTCATTCCAGTCTTGATTTCTGAGTTCGGAACTCCAACGTGGGTCCTAACCTAGACTTCGTACCAGGTCTTTTTCAAGCTAAACTGATGATTATCTCTATGCTTTATTTTTCCCTACTGGTTAAGTGGGGAATCAAGCATAGATCATCTCATAGTCATTCTTAAAAAGTTTTACTTTGAGCTAATCATAGATTTATATGCAATTGTAAGAAATAATTCACAAGGATCTCAAATACCTTTCACTCCCAATGATAACATCATGTTGTTGTTTAGTCACTAAGTCATGTCCTACTCTTTTGTGACCCCATGGACTGTATGTAGCTCACCAGGTTCCTCTGTCAGTGAAATTTCCCAGACAAGAATACTGGAGTGGGTTGCCATTTTCTCCTCCAGGGGATCTTCCTGACCCAGGAATCAAACCTGTGTCTCCTGCATTGGCAGGTGAATTCTTTACCACAGGGCCACCTGGCAGAGCATATCTATAGTACAATATTACAAATGGGAAATTGACATCAATCCTATATATCCACTTTATTCCAATTTCAACAGTTCTATATACACCCATCTGCCTGTGTGTATAGCTCTATGAAATGTTTTCATGTGTAGGTTGATGTGATCACCACCATAGTCAAGATACTAAACAGTGCCAACACCACAAGGGTCTCCACTCTTACTCATCTTCTCTCCCTCTCTTCCTGGCAACCACTAAACTGTTCTCCATCTCTGTAATTTTGTCATTTAAGAATATTACATGGAATCATACATAGGTTACCTTTGGAAGTTGGCTTTTTCCACTCAAAATAATTCTCCAGAGATCTATTAAAGTTGTTCCAATATCAAGAGTTTGTTCTTTTTACTGCTGAGTAGTATTCCATGGTATGGAGGTATCACAGCTTGTTTGACCATTCATATATTGCAGGATGTCTGGATTGATTCCAAATTTTGGCAATTACAAATAAAGGGGCTATGAACATTTGTCTACAGATTTTGCATAACCTAAATTTTCATTTCCCCTGAATAAATGCCCAATAGTGCAGTTCCTGGATTGTATGGCAAGTACATGTTTAGTTTTGTAAGGACTGCCATATGCTTTTATAGAGCGTCTACACTATTTATATTCCTACCAGAAGTGAATGAGAGATCCAGTTTCTCTACATCCTTGTCAGCATTTGTTGTTGTCATTATTTTTCATTTTAGCCATCCTGATGGGAGTACAGTGATATATCATTGTGGTTTTAAATTGCGTTTCCCTAATTCCAACCAGTCCATCCTAAAGGAGATCAGTCCTGGGTGTTCATTGGTAAGACTGATTTTGAAGCTGAAACTCCAATACTTTGGCCACCTGATGTGAAGAGCTGACTCATTTGAAAAGACCCTGATGCTAGGAAAGATTGAGGGCAGGAGGAGACGGGGACAACAGAGGATGAGATGGTTGGATGGCATCACCGACTCAATGGACATGGCTTTGGGTGGACTCCAGGAGTTGGTCTTAGACAGGGAGGCCCGGCGTGCTGGGGTTCATGGGGAAGCAAAGAGTCAGACACAACTGAGCAACTGAACTGAACTGAATGCCTAATGATAGCTACCATTTTTTCATGTGTATATTTAACATCTGTATATCCTTTTCAGTGAAATGTTTCTTCATATATCTTGGCATCTTCTAATTGAATAGTTTCTTACAGACAAATATTAAGAGTTCTTTATTTAGGTACTGATCCTTTGTTGCATATGTGGTTTGCAAATATTTTCCCCCAGATTGCATCCTCTTCCCCTAAGCGTTTATAGAACAAACATTTTTAATTTTGATGAAGTCCAATTAATCAGTTTTTCCTCTTACAGATTGATTGTGTTTTGACAATAAGTCTAAGAATGCTTTGTTTCAGTTCAGTTCAGTTCAGTCGCTCAGTCCTGTCCGACTCTTTGAGACCCCATGGACTGCAGCACACCAGGCCTCCCTGTCCATCACCAACTCCAGGAGTTTACTCAAACTCATGCCCATTGAGTCGGTCATGTCATCCAACCATCTCACCCTATGTTGTCCCCTTCTCCTTGCACCTTCAATCTTTCCCAGCATCAGGGTTTTTTCTAATGAGTCAGCTCTTTGCATCAGGTGGCCAAAGCATTGGAGTTTCAGCTTCAACATCAGTCCTTCCAATGAATATTCAGGACTGATTTCCTTTAGGATGGACTGGTTGGATCTCCTTGCAGTCCATGGGACTCTCAAGAGTCTTCTCCAACACCACAGTTCAAAAGCATCAATTCTTTGGCACTCAGCTTTCTTTATAGTCCAACTCTCACATCCATACATGACTACTGGAAAAACCATAGTTTTGGTGTGTTTTTTTAAATTTATTTTTATTAGTTGGAGGCTAATTACTTTACAATATTGTAGTGGTTTTTGTCATACATTGACATGAATCAGCCATGGATTTACATGTATTCCCCATCCCGATCCCCCCTCCTACCTCCCTCTCCACCCGATCCCTCTGGGTCATCCCAAGTGCACCAGGCCCAAGCACTTGTCTCATGCATCCAGCCTGGGCTGGTGATCTGTTTCACCCTAGATAATATACATGTTTCGATACTGTTCTCTTGAAACATCCCACCCTCGCCTTCTCCCACAGAGTCCAAAAGTCTGTTCTGTACATCTGTGCCTCTTTTTCTGTTTTGCATATAGGGTTATCTTTACCATCTTTCTAAATTCCATATATATGCGTTAGTATACTGTATCGGTCTTTATCTTTCTGGCTTACTTCACTCTGTATAATGGGCTCCAGTTTCATCCATCTCATTAGAACTGATTCAAATGAATTCTTTTTAATGGCTGAGTAATATTCTGTGGTGTATATGTACCACAGCTTCCTTATCCATTTGTCTGCTCATG